CAATTTTATGAGGAAAAACTTACCATAAACTTCACCCTGGTGCCAATAAATTCCCACAAAGCTTTTTAGTGGTGAAAGTGTTAGCTAACTGCAGTGTGTAGCATACTCTCCTCTCATTGGTCAGCCAATGAAACCCTCGCTGATTGGTTGTACGCTAAGCGACAGTGACAAACGTTCAACATTTTTCAGCTTTCAAATGTCGCYGCGCAAGCTTGCGTGTGCACGTCTACGTGTATGAGCATGAAATTTCACATGCACTATTTTTGCCGGTCGCTTAGCTGGAGGAGGGCAAGTGATTGTCGCCTCACCGCACAGGCTCCATAGGAAATGATTGGAGAGCGAGCGATGTCGCCTCCCATGTGTCGAGCCCTTTATAAGGTGTGCAAATCTATAATGGGTTTAAATCTAATCTAAATGTCTCTTGTAGTTACTTGTACTTTATATTTAATCTTGACATAATTATAATCTAATAACCAGGACAACTGCTGGTGGGCCAAATAAATGGCTCGGCGGGCCAATTCCCCACTTTGGGAACCTCTGTTTTAAGCCTGTCCACCAGTCAACCCTGATACAACTGATTTGTCTTCAGTTAGTTTGCTTCTTTCCTCAGACCATTTTCCCCTGTTGCTTTCAGGTCATCGCACCCTCTACATTGGAGTCCACGTTCCTTTGGGTCGAAGGTCACACCGGCGCCATCGCCACCATGGACATAGACACAGGAAGAGGTCCAAGGAGAGGGACTCCACAACGGACGATGGACGGGAATCACCCTCGCACAGTATGTGTCTTGTTGTGAAATACTCCTGTTCCTTTTAGTCTGTAATTCTCCTGTTTGCCTCTGCAGACACACCAGCTCAGAGGGTCCAGTTCCTGCTTGGTACAGAAGATGTCGARGAGGAACACATCCCTCARGCCCTGTTCACAGAAATGGACGAGATCTGTCTCAAGGAAGGGGAGGACGCGGATTGGAAAGAGACGGCTAGGTACATACCTCTGGCTTTGATACACTGAGACTTCCATCATCTCCTCTTATTCTGAATGTTTGTCTGCAGGTGGCTGAAGTTTGAGGAGGACGTTGAAGATGGTGGTGAGCGGTGGAGTAAACCCTACGTGGCCACTCTGTCTCTACACAGTCTGTTTGAGCTTCGCAGCTGCATCATGAACGGCATCGTGATGCTGGACATGAGGGCRAACTCTTTGGAGGAGATCGCAGGTAAGCACTGTCTGCGGATCTTCACAGTTTTGAACTTAAACAAGCCTCTGAASACACAGGTGAGGGTTATTTGTTGAGAACAAATGATATTTTTAAATATGTTTACCAAACTGGAGATTAACAAATGGTTTAAGTCGATCTGTGTATACAGTAGGTACAAAGCTTTTCGGAAACTATGACATGACAACCTGGTTTGTAGCCAAGTTTAAAATAATGTCGTATAAGGAAATTATTAAAAAATATTGATTAAAAGCATTCTTACTGGTAGCTAACAAGGTTCTTAGCTTGGTTAAAGAACATTGTTAAAGAAAATTCTTGTTCCTTAAATATGCAAACAAAATTATCTTAGCTAAAAAAAAGCTAAGAATGTTCTTAGCTTGGCTAAATAAGCTAACAGTTGAGGCTGTGGCTGAGTGGTTAAGGGTGTTGTCCAATGCAAGAGTTGTTGGTTCCCTCACTATTCAGTCACGTGTTGAAGTGTCCCTGGGCAAGACACTGAACCCCCACTGCCTCTGAGGTGTGTCCCATCACTGRATGAATGTGATTTAAGCTCAAACTAGCTAAACTGATCTGTCTGGGTTAGCTTTGTAGAGAGGCGTAGTACAGAGCTGCGTCAATGGGTAAATGAGGGATTGTAGTGTAAAGAACTAGGGCTGTGTTTTGGCAAGAATTTGGCGATATGATACATATCATGACAGAGGGGTCACGATACGACATATCCCGATAT